AGCATGTCTGCTTTTCGAGCAGTTTGATGTTGACATCATGAGTTTTATCAAGTTTCTCTTCCAGCTCCTTGATTTTGATAAAGTTAGGGTCTGTTTTGGAATATGCTGAATCTGAAGAGTTTGAAGTACTTACAGCGCGCGCAGTCGGCTTTCAAGTTCTCAACGGAGAGAGTAGTCACTTTCTCTTTTTCAGCATTGGGGGTGACCAGGTTTGCATTCTCATCAGCAGCAGTGGTTTTCTCTTCTTCATTTTCAACAATGGCCATCAGCGCCATGTTCTCATCATCATCTGCATCATCCATCTAGTGATCTTTCTCAGCCATGAGGGCGTTTTTCTCACTGCTTTCCTCCATTTCTAGCAGCATATTTTTCTTGTTCAAGTTTATCTTTTGCTTATAGTAAGCATCCTTCCTTCTCTTTGGCATCATGCAATCCTTGATTAGATGTCCCGCCTTCCCACAGTTGAAGCATTTGGGAGCATCCTCGACATTTGTATTCTCATCTGATTCAAAGGGATGTTCCTTTCTCTTTGTGTCGGTTGAGGATTTTCAAAGCCTATTAGAGGATGAGTTCTTCTTCAGCATCTTGTTGTTAAATCTGGAAGTAAGAAGTGCTATGTGCTTTTGAAAGTCACGCAGTTCATCATCATTATCAGTTTCATCCCAGAAACCGATGTCGCTATCAGCACTCTCACTTTATTCAGCTTTCATTTTATCCTTCTTTGAGCCAGATTTGGAAGGTTTGTCAAGCATCAATGCAAAAGTATCAGCCAACTTGTCAACAGCATCCTTGCCTTTTTCAGCCATCACAGTTGTGTGAACATAGTCAGAAAAATCTTCAGCATATTGGTCAAATGGAGAAGCTGGAGGATGTCTCTAATCAACATTCTTCTCCTAACTGGAGATAACATGAAACAAGAAGAAAAATTTGCTTTGTGATGGCTAAGAACGAAAAACATTGAGATTGCCATCTCAAAGGAATATATCAACAAAATCTACCAGCGCAAATTGGAAGAAATCAAGCATGAAAATGAGAGAAGAAAAAGGAAGGCGACTTTAGGATCTTATCCAGGAGAATCATCTCAACACAATGCCTTCCTTGCAAATAAAAGAGTACATTTTTTAGTGATGCCATAAAAGGGGGAAAATGGCACCTAAAAAATAAAGCCTTTAATCTCTTTTTTTATTTTTGATTCTAGTTTCTGACATCATCAAAAAGGGGGAAATTGTTAGGTCCCCAAGATTTTGATGTATTAGTTTTAATAATGACAGAACCTCTTCTTGTATTATTCTTGTATTAGACTAGTGCTTGTATTTGTTCTACTTTGGGGCAGTGTGCTCCAATTTTAGTGATAAAGTACTTAAGAAAAACAAAGAATACTAAAAAGAGAAAAAACGTACCATAAAACAGAAAGAAAAGAAACAAAAAGAAAAGGTATGAAAAGAGTCAACTGAAGCCCTTATGAAATCAGATACTTAATTAGAAAACCTTCTGGTGACCTTCTGTCATGGTCAAAACAGAAGACCTCATGTATTCTGTCAACAACAGAACTGGTCCTCTGTTGACACCAGAACAGAAGACCTCATAAGTATTCTGATTAAGTACCAAAATCTACTATTGTTCTCTTAGCACAGAAACAATTGACAGAAAACCAACTTGCAGTCAAAATGACAAAAAGAATAGAAAGTAATTTTATTAAAGTTTACATGACAAAATTTCTTATAAAATTATTTTACTAAAAGCAAGTAATTTTATTGTATGGAAGCATTGAACAACACTCATTTTCTACGATCTAAAGAAATAAAGATAAATCATCTTTATCTTTACCTAGAAATGAGGAATCAAGTTGAGTGAAGATATATGATCCGCGTCACAAGAAGACAAGAATCAACCATGCTGCCTCAGTCAAGTGGAACAAAGCAAGTAGATCAATTCAAGAAACGATCAAGATTGAATCACTCAGCCAACGGAGGAGATTCAACAACAAAGTCTATAAATACAGAAGCAATGCGGGAAGAAAGTGTGACACCAGATGGTAAAACCATGGTCTATAAGAACCAAGTGGAACTGAAGGGAATCAAGACTCACACGAACACATCCAGCTAGCCGATTCACCTTCACCACTCTGGTTACCACCCCACTCATCTAATGCTCTTAGAATAGCTCATAGTTCATACACATCTATGGAGCTTAGATTAGTTGATAGTTTAGTTTAAACCCATGTAAACTAGACTAGTGTTAGACATTCTAGAGGGCTTTGTGATCAAACCCAGAAGGTGAGAAGGACAAGGACATGAGTAGCTTTTGGCTGGGCAATGCCATTTGTGAAAAAACCTTGGAGGACTGAGTAACTTGGAACAATGTTTAAGTTCATTGTGGAAAACCTCACAATCTACGCCTGGGCCAAGGGTAGATTGGGCACTAAATGTAATGGGATATTCATTTAGTGGAAATCCATCTGAAATAGGTTGGGACTGGATGTAGGAGGATTACACCACCTCTGAACCAGGATATATCTTGTGTACCTTTTATATTCAACACCCAACACACACTTCAGTTCTCACTCACCTTCATACTATCCCAGAAGCTTGCATATTCACTGTCCAAAAAATTCTCAAAAGTTTTCTGTTAATCAAACTCCTTACCTACGTACTTCAAAGAGATATATTTCAATAGATCTAAAATCCTTCATACATATGTGTTCTGACTATCCATCTATGTCACAACTAAAAGGGTCATAACCTTTGTTTCTATAAAGTGTCACACTCTTGAGGTCAATACTTCCGTTGTATGTTTCAATATCTCTCAAAAGATATTGGAACTCATTCTGTTTGAGGAAAATGGTTGAAAAAGAAAAGATTTTTAAAAGTCTATTCACCCCCCTCTAGACTTTTACCTCGCCAGGGACCATCAGGCAATGAACCCGACAATGAACATGTGGGTGGTCAGAGAGAATTGGCCAGGGATTACAACATAATAGTTCATGACACTAAGGTGGGCGTTATGAAGGCCAACTTGCAGGCTGGCCAGGTGAACCCCAAAATGAAGGGGAGAAGGGGGCTCCACGATATTCTGGCCAGGAAAGGGTCGAGAACAGGCAACACTAGGGCCCGTAAGGGCCACCGCCTCATGAAATTCGGCAATAGAGAGGGCGACGGCTGGAACCCGTCGAGCATACTCAGAAGAAAGAAAGAAATGGGTCTCAACCCCATGGGAATCCACCAGAACTTGAGGTCGACCCGAATCGGCCCCATCATCGGGGAAGACATGGTGAATGGGAACGGAACTAGAGGATGACATTGGAGACTAACCTGAGAAAATGAGAGTAGTAAAGGAATGTTCTTGCGACTTAGGGTTCCCAACAAAGAAAGCAGTGCACTAGTGCGAGAATGAAGTTGCAAAAGAATTGTCCGAAGAATGGCGAACGTTTATATAGCTTAGCAGTTAGGGCTTGGGAACCGCCCCAAAACCGCCCGAAACCGCAATGATAGCACTTGAGTGCTGAAGATGGCGAGGCGGATTGGGAGTTGTGTTGGGCTGCAGGCTCATGTCAAAATGAGCATATTTAATGCGGTGCGGCGCTACAATTCACCAAAAAGATTCTAAATTTGAAATTGATTAAACGCTCAATTTACTCTCCCAAAATCCAGCCCTACTGATTTTAGAGAGTAGGGGGCTCGTGATGGTACCATGGACTCTAGCCATGACCCAATTACGGAAATACGGATTAGCCCATAACAGGATCGAGCCCTCAACGGGATTAGCCCTTAAACGGGATCAACCCATGAACAGGATAAATATATTAGCTGATGAGCCTAACCAGGAATCAGACCCACAATAGGAACCCACAGCTAGGCCGGGCTGGACAGCAGATCTCGAGCCTGGGCGGAGTTCTAGTGAGGTCGGATATTCCTAGGGCTTACGTGACAGACTATCATTCGAGCATAGCTATTTGGCAGCAGACAGGAAAACGGAAGGAACATGGACTTAAGGGAACGATCAAGACACAACAGGAAAAACGTTACAAGAGTCCTATTCGAACTAATATGCAATTAATACTACCTCCGTCCCAAATTGATTTGCAAATTTGACTTTTATTGGTCAAACAGTTTCATTTTATTTGCTTAATTAGGATGTCAATTTTTAATTATATTCTAATTTGGAGTTTACAACTTTGAATAGATTTTAATGTAGTTTCTGAATATATAAATTTTAATTATTAAAAATTGAATTAAATAACGATATGGAGCATTGACTTTTTTATTGGTTGACCAAAAAATGTTGACTTTGCAAAACAATTTGAGACGGAGGGAGTACCATTTATTGCATCAGTTTCCTCCTAGAACACTAGTTCCTATAGTCTATAAATACTTCATGTAATCTTCCTATGAAGGGATCGAACTCTGGAATAAAGAATACTGTCTTACGCTGCCATATTTTCATCTGCTCTCGTAGATACATCTCTCGTAGTTGGATTAAACTTCATCAATAATAAAAATTTAATGTATAAGTAATGACTAACCGACGTAATGATTCATGGTAAATTTCAAACTATTAATAAATCACTCTAGTCTAGTACTCCCTCCGTCCCATATTTATCTCCTAAAGTATAAATGGCACACAGATTAAGATAGTGAGAAATGTGTGGTGGAGAGTTGTGCAGAGGAAAGAGAAATGTGTAAGAATGTGTAAGAATGATTGTGAACCACAAATTCTTTGCTAAAAAGGGAAAGAAGAGATAAATTTGGGACAAACCGAAAAAGAAAGTATGAAGATAATTTCGGGACGGAGGGAGTATTAAATAGAGTGAAGAACACTTTCAAATAGAGTGAAGAACACTTTCGATGTGTTTTAAATAGAGTATTCAAAACGATCTATTTCATCAATTTTTAGGGGTCAAGATGTGATTTTATTCTTATTTTTCACGTGAAGAACACTTTCGATGTTGGACTGAGCATACTAGGGTTCAAATTTCTCGGATCGGGTGCGGGTGCCCAAACATAACATTGAGTGAATCTGTCCACGGTCAACGGTCTTCCCGAAATGCAAATGCTGCTTTGGATTGAGAAAGAAACGTCAAAAAGACTTGAGAGTTGAGAGAGAAGTGGATATGGAGGGGGGCTATCCGACGACCTTCTCCACATACTCCTATTCAACACCGAGACCCACGAACTGTTTCCATCCTAATTGCTCCATTCCTCATACCATCAGCGATTCTTTCCGATCACGAAGCACAAGAAAAGTAATCGCTCATGGCTGCAGAAAAAGGGGATTGGCGGTGAAAGCAAGAGCGCAGAGCTTTTCAACACTGAGGCAGACTCTTTCAAGCAACTGGGATGTTTTCAACTACTCCAGAGCTCCTCCTTCTCGACTGCCCAGATTTGATGAACTGGACACCATCAATATGCTTCTTCGTCAGAGAATTGTCTTCTTGGGTTCTCAGGTGCTCTATCCATTTATTGAATCTTCAATTCCGCCTATTGCTATCATATCCATGCTGTTTTTATGGAGTTATGACTGCGTCTATACACTCCACAATTGATCTCACTTTTTGGTATTGCTGATTCTCCATTTTCCACCGGTTCCATAATTCGTATTCCTAAACAGACCCTTAGTGTGCGGTTTATGTCATGGACTCATGGGTAGTTATTTTAACCTGGAACTTGGCGACCAATGTTTATCTTGAAGAAACTCAGGCGGTGAGAAAAAAAAGGAATGTGTGACCCCTTGTGAAGAAAAGATATTTTCAAATGGCCCTAGGGCCAAATCGTTGTAAGTAAATTTTGTAAAGCAACTCATGAATTGATGATTTTTTATACATAGTTTAGTTTTTTGTATATCAATTGATGACTGCCAAAGGCCAGTTACATCTAAAGGCCTAAGACGCTCTCAATATAGCTATATAGGTAATAAAGAAACAAAACTGGGATTATTATCACGTATGAAATAAAACCTGAAATGATCTAAGATGTGTTGAAATACTAGCACATTATCTTATGCTATGGCTTATGTTATAATGATAAAAGAGTGTATATCGTTTTCCTATATTCATAGAAAGTGATTGGTGACAGGTAGAAAATGCATCAGCAGATCTTCTTATTAGCCAGCTATTATTACTCGATGCTGAAGACTCCAAAAAGGACATCAGATTGTTCATAAACTCGCCCGGTGGTTCCGTTACTGCTGGTATGATTCATTGTGTATTTTAACCAATAGCAGTCTCAGTTTCCCCTTTCTACTAACTTAAAATCCTTGGAATGTGTGAAATCTGAAATCCAAGCACACTGGCAGCTGGTCTATGATGAAGCTAAATTGTTTACACAATCTTAAATTTATTGAGTGGTCAATTTCTACTTCCAGAGACAACTCTTGCTGCTTTTCTTATCAGAGGGGGTTCTCGTTTGAACTCCATGGTTCTTTTTAACGTACTCATATTTCCCTCAACTACTGTGCACATTTCTATTTTGTCATGAATTGATTTGTATTTTCCTGACCATTAAAGCTTTCAAAGTTTGTGGTAATGTAGTGTGTATGTTTAAAATCATCTTAATATCGTGCATTATCTAATTATTATAAAGTTCCTATTATATCTATTTCAGATCAGATGTTATTAGGAGATACAGAGTGTTTTTTGCTATTAAAGACTCAAGAACTTTGTTAGTTTAATTTTCCTTGATTTATTAGAATTAAAATTTGATCTCAGTTGTTCAATATGAACATAGGAATGGGAATATATGATGCAATGAAACAGTGCAAGGCTGATGTTTCTACTATTTGTCTCGGACTTGCTGCATCGATGGGTGCATTTCTCCTTGCTGCTGGCACCAAAGGGAAAAGGTATTGCATGCCAAATGCAAGGGTCATGATCCATCAACCTCTAGGAGCAGCTGGTGGCAATGTAAGTGTTCTCAAAATTTTGGAAGTATCAACCATCTCTATATCTCAATTCTCAAGATGATTGGCTCACTAGTTTACAGGTATGTTTGACAAGCTTATTTTAGTTGGTGAGACATTGGACATCAAAACAAACAGAGTATATATACATTCATATATATATATGTGTGTGTGTGTGTGTGTGTGTGTATGTATGTATGTATGTATGTATGTATGCATGTGTGTGTGTGTGTGTCTGTCCGTCCATCCATCAATCCATCCATCCATCCATCCACCCACCCACCCACCCACCCACCCACCCGCCGCGAATGGAGAAAAGCCTGGACAGTATCGAACGCAACTTGGGGGAGATAAAATCTACGCCGGTCGAAATGCGGGAAGGGATGCGCGACTTACTGTGCCAACTGCGTCGCAGGCGACCTCGAGGTCGATCGCGAACAGTTTCTGAATATGTAAATTTAATTTACTAAAAATAATCTGAGTGTGAACAGGGATCAAGTTGCTTTATCGTCAGTCAAGCATCGTAAATCGAACTACGAAGATAAATATAGGACGGAGGGAGTAATAAAATAAAGAAAAAATTATATTAAAAAATAGTTAAAATGATCCTCTACAGTAACTTCAGCCAATATAGCCAGAAAAGTAACTCCAACCTTACTTTTTCTTATTATTACACAATTCTGCGCATGAAATCAAAAGTTACGTGTTTGGTGAAAAGGTTGGCTGATAAGCCTGATAAACCGAAAAACAGGCTCACCAAACGGGCTCTTAGTCTTTTTATATTGTACAATGAAAGGGGTTTAGGCCCTATAACTAAATAGAAGTGGGCTGGCCCATTAGAAAAAGAATAAATAGGAGTGAGCTGTGAGGACAAAGGGAAGGAGAAACAACAATGCTTGATGTACCCACCCTTATACCCACCTTATACCTACCATATTTGTGAAGCTTTTTTTTTTGTTTGCGCAAAATATTGTCTGTGAATCGATGTTTACAGACAAAAAAAAGTTTTCACAAACATGGGTGGGTACAAAAGTGGTTATAAGAGTGGATACAAACATCTTTTTTGAAGGAGAAGTTCTGTTAGGCTTGGGTTTGGGACTTGGGAGAGGAGTCTGCTCTAATTGTCTCACTGTATCTTTCTATTTACTGCTATTTTCGCTACTGAAATTCTGAGATCATCATCAATCTACTATTAATTACTGCTGCGTTTTGGGAGTCTCTATCATCTGGTATCAGAGCACTCGCTTCCTGGAGGCAAGAGTCTGAATCGATCATCCTGGAGCATCAACGAGCTGCAATGATGAAGGAACTATATACGCCGCGAATGGAGAAAAGCCTGGACAGTATCGAACGCAACCTGGGGGAGATAAAATCTACGCCGGTCGAAATGCGGGAAGGGATGCGCGACTTACGGTGCCAACTGCGTCGCAGGCGACCTCGAGGTTGATCGCGAACAGTTAGGAGCCGTCGACACTCGACAGTCAGAAAGCAAGGGCTCAGCACCTTCATTCGCTGTTTTTCCCAGTTCGCAGGTCTAAGTTGGCAGGGCTCAACACATGACGTTTCTCAGTCCGAAGGCATCTTCATAAGCTATCAGTTCGCGTCCAAGTAAGACGCGATCGAGAGGAGAATCCCTATCGTCTCCGCCAGTCGATTCTCACCCTTTGCCTTCTTCATCATCGCAGACTCTGACTCACGCTGTTTCTCAGAGTTTGCAGGTTTTGTCGCCATCAGATTCTCCTGGTTCGCAGCATAAGTCTGTTAATCAACGGCAACCTCCCTCTGAAGATTCAGCACCGCTCAAACTTGATATTCCTTACCGTCAGGAAGCAAATCGTACTGAACACACTGAGGCGGCCTTGGAACTGATCAACAAAATCACAGGGGCTGATGAGGAGGGCCTGTCTCAAACACGAATGCGTACCTATGATGTTTGGAGGTTTGTGATGCTTGAAAATGAACTCGATCCTGCTATCTTCCCAGATGCCTTAATTAGTGGTGATTATGTAAGGAGATTGCCAGTAGTTTGTATACCGGTTCAAAAAGTGAGGTGTGTTCATGCCAAGGCAGTGTCATGTTCAACCGTTCTCAGCTATTGGGACCACTCTGAATCAGAAAATGGATCACCGGAGACTCAGCCGCCTACACTGACCCCTGAGTTGACACCAGTTGCAGCATCAGATCCTGCACGAGCTATTGGCTCTTTGGTAAGGAGAGGAAAGTGCAGAGATGATGATAAGAGGGGATGGAAGGAAAAAGGGGAATGTATAAACAAACCTCAACATTGGGTGGAAGAGTTGAAAGGAAGGACACCTACCTACCAGTAATGTCGAGGGAGGTACAAACAACCAATTTTTGCTTTTAGGCTATTGCTATGATTTTCAGGTTTGGAATGTGGAAGAATGATAGAGAGCGGGAAGAGCATGGGGCGGGACCGGGTTTGGGCCCACTTCCGTGGGCCGGGTTAGGGCTGTCATTAGAGTTTATTTATTATTATTAAGTTAATGTTATGTTTTACTTTGGTCCTATTATTAGTAGAGTACTTAGTAGAGTTATTATGGGCTTAATTAGGATTTAATTAATTTGGGCTTGATTAGGGTTTCTCTCAGAAGGCTATTTATACCTCTTGCCAGGGTTCATTCTAGATCATCTTGGAATAAAATTGGAGTTCAGCCTTTTGGCTCTGGGCAACAGTATTTTTATCGTTGATTATCTGGGCAATGGTTTACCCCGTTGATTTTTATTTTTCTGCTACACAACAATTGGTCCGACCTACTGGATCCTGTCTCGCCAGGATGATGAGATCTCAGATTGACCGCTTGACAGAGATGGTCGCCAAGCAAACTCGGATGAATCAAACCCTAGAGGAGCACGACATGCGTCTAGCAGAGATTGCAGCATCCCTGGAAGCGCTTACCAAGGTGCTAATTCCTCCGGTCACGACGGAAACAAGCCTGGGTGCGGTTGGCAGCCTCACCGTATCTGCGCACAGCAGCGACATACTGCCGTGTAGGGTCACTTCCTCCTTGGTTGCGTTTACAGAGGGTCTCGCGCCGCCAATGGTGGAGGAGCATTCAACGGCGGTGGCTTCACTTGATGCGGCAGCAGCATCCTCGTTCGGAATTGGACTGTGCAGCACCTTTCTCACGATATTGCCCTCATTTAATGGAGAAGAACTGATCAGCTGGGTTGATAGGGCTGAACAACAGTTCGAATTGAACTGTACTCCGTCGGGAAAGAAGGTGGCAGCCGTGGTAGTTGCGATGGAAGGGCCAGCCTTATATTGGTTGACCTGATTACGGGCACGAAAGCCGGTCATGTCATGGGATGAGCTTACACAGGCCTTGGTGGCTCGTTTTGACTCACGGTTTAAGGGCAATTGCTTTAAACGGCTGCCCGGAGGCAAGCAGACAGGGATTGGGAAGGAGTACATCTCAATTTTTCCTAAAGATTTTGGGCAGCCCCCAGGGACAAATGTGAGCCGGTTTCCGGATTTCAACCTTGAGGACAAGGTTATTTTGAAGGAGGATGGATTGATAGAGAGCGGGAAGAGCATGGGGCGGGACCAGGCTTGGGCCCACTTCCGTGGGCCGGGTTAGGGTTGTCATTAGAGTTTATTTATTATTATTAAGTTAATGTTATGTTTTACTCTGAGCCTATTATTAGTAGAGTACTTAGTAGAGTTATTATGGGCTTAATTAGGATTTAATCAATTTGGGCTTGATTATGGTTTCTCTCAGAAGGCTATTTATACCCCTTGCCAGGGTTCATTCTAGATCATTTTGGAATAAAATTGGAGTTTAGCCTTTTGGCTCTGGGCAACGGTATTTTTATCGTTTATTATCTGGGCAACGGTTTACCCCGTTGTTTTTTATTTTTCTGCTACACAACAAAGAACCTGAAGGTGTTCATAGCTTAGTTCCCAAGCATGATGGTCCTGTTTCATTCATGCAAAGCCTACCCCATTATGGAAAGGAGCTTTAGGGAATCACCACCTCACACACTGATGTTACTGAGGGACTAATCGAACATGGATGGATAACGAAGATCGAAAAGCACGGTTGTGTGGTTTGGTTCTACAATGGCGTGCAAGGTTTTAAGTTTGAGTTTGGATTATATCTGAGCTCTAAATTAAACTCATGTTATCATGTTGCACCAAAGAGGAAGTTAGCTGAGCATATCACTGGTATGAAGCAATTATTTTATAATTCTGGTGCAGTGGAGGTTGGGGTGACTACATTAATTAAGGAGGTTCAGAATCCAGGAAATATCATTCTTCTTATTGAGGAGGTCCCTTCTCTAAGTGGTTCTGGCACGGATAGGAGAGGGAGGAAGTAAGGGATTCGGACTCGGACTTGACACTGCTAATCTTTTAAAGCCATTGCTTGGGTTTCAGCTTGTAATATATCAGAAACTGAGCCATGAGAATGCTGTCCAGTTACTGCAAGGGCTATGTGAGAATATGAGTCTCAACTTAAGTCTAGATTCATTCTTGAAAGATATCTTCCTGACAAAAGCATTGATCCTATTGATGTGGCTGGGAGCAGATTCAGAAGGGAAGCTCATAAAAAGAAAAAGCTACAACTTACTTCCATACTTACAAAATCACCAAGTGTATACTGCCAAGAAATTATCTGTTCGGAATATGCATGCAATGATTCTGAAAAATAGACTCAGCAAAAATAACTATGAATCTCACTCGGAAGGGAATGAAAAAGTCCAAACTGAACATTCTATAAATTCAGCAGAAGATGATGAATCTTGTGTGGTGGGACATGAGGAAAGAGCTTTTGTAGTTTCATTTTTGTCGGGCAATTCCTGTCAACATCTGAGGGTTGATGAAAGAATATTTCTCATGAGTCACATTGCTGCTATGTTTTCCATCATTTGCAATGGAGCCAAAGATTCATTATAATTTGGCTTGAGATTATGATGAAATAAAGCAAAATGGGTCACTAAATTGTCTGCGCTTCTTTGTTATGAAGCATCAGTCAGTCCATGCAATTTTGGACGGGATTTTCACTATGGGTCATCCGGAAACAGTCTCTCTGTGCTTTAGTTCAGGGGTAAGACTGCGTACATCCGACCCTCCCTTACCCCACCGTAGGTGGGAGCCTTTGCGGCACTGGGGTAAATGAAAATGAAATGAGTCACATTGCTGCTATGCCCTTCTGTGGTTATTCTGTAGTTGGCAAACTTGAACTTGCTAAAGCATGTGCAGCAACTTGTTTTGGTAAAATGAGGCTTGAGCAGTTAGGGATTGAGAGGGATTGAGAGAGTTCAGTTCCAACTGTTGCAAGACGAGGTGAATGATCTTGGTTCTTTATATAGGTTGAATATTGGGGTGGATGTCGTTCTTGAAGTTCAGTCAATGATTCGGGTGTTGGAAACTTGTGCTGAGAACATGAATTTCTATTCATTGATCATGTATCGGGACCTGCTGGTGCTAACAACCCTTCCTAATGATGACTTTGTAAAGAGTTTTACCTATGCTGTCTTGAGGTTGACTTCAAATAATTTATCTTCTGGACTGAGATCTTGGTCCTATTTGAGTCAAGGAAACACTACCTATAATAACTCTGGAGATGGGTGGGGAAGCACTACTTCAATACCTGATCAGCAGACTGACTCCTCATACAATAGTTCTCAAGGCAGTTATCATGTTGTGAGGCCCTTACAGCTTGACAAATGGTTGAAAGAGAAACATGGGTTCCTTGTAACAAATCTTTGGGGAGCAGAAGTTGCTGCCCTAACGATTTTTATCAAGTAGACAGAAGAAAGGGCATATATATGTGATTATCTGCATAAGAGCCTAAATAGTGTGTTTCTCATTTCCTCTACATCTGTGGTCAAAGAGGAGCAAGGGGTTTCTGTGATGAAGCAGAAAATTTTAGAACAAGCATCAGTTAAGGACTACTTAATGGCACTGACCAAGTCCCGGGAAGAGGTTGATCCGGAAAGAAACAGATCAAAATGTGAGGGTCCAAGCAATATAAAAGATGAGGAAATATGGCTGAGAGTTGATAAGCAAGCGAGGACGTACTGAGAAGGAAGAGGCGCCAAGATGAAACTGAATGGCATGGCTGTTTCTTACTCCCCACCTTGAGGACAAGGTGGTTGTCAAGGGGGGAGTGATTATAGAGACCTAAAATAATACTAGAATAAGAAGAATGCTACTACGTCTTTTAATATTGTACAATAAAAGGGGTTTAGGCCCTATAACTAAATAGAAGTGGGCTGGCCCATTAGAAAAAGAATAAATAGGAGTGAGCTGTGAGGAGAAAGGGAAGGAGAAATTCTGTTAGGCTTGGGTTTGGGACTTGGGAGAGGAGACTGCTCTAAGTGTCTCACTGTATCTTTCTATTTACTGCTATTTTTGCTACTGAAATTCTGAGATCATCATCAATCTACTATTAATTACTGCTGCGTTTTGGGAGTCTCTATCAGAGGGTCAGTGAGAGTTCCTTTTGAAATGAGAGCACATCTACAATGGCTAAAATTACAAAGTGACATTTTTGTAATTATTTTAGAATAATTGTAAAAAGACTCCTTTTGGATTTTCAATAATTACATAAGTGGGCAACATGTGATTGTAGTCCTAGATCGAAGCAAATGAAAAGTTGAGATTAAAAGTTCTCATAATCAAATATTCGCATTTTTAGAGGGGTATATAATTATATATATATAGGTTTAAGATCAAATTAAAATATCATCTAGTGAGAAATGAGAATGCATTGGAACCGTTATATTGTAGCTTTTTTATATTTTGTAGTTATTTTGTGGGAGGGTGTTTAAGTGTTTTAGCCATTTTATATCTATTTCCTTTTCAGCAATGATTTGTTCTCATTATATTCTCCTCTATTTTAGGACGTGTGATTTGTTTCTTTCAAACGTTAGCACCATTGCTTTTATCTTTATTTAACTCTAATGCATATGTAGTTGTGCATAAGAATTCAAATAAAATGCATCAACATAGTCTAAGTATATGTAAAGTAATCATGGCAATTCTCCATGTATAAAATAGTTATCAAGATGTGCACTAATGTATGATGGGATAATATAAAAGTACATTTAGTACAATTACAAGAGCACTTTATAGAACTACATATTGGTGTAATAACAGCAGGACAAATTGTTTAAATCTATTGCACTTGTACAGCTAGGTCGTCCTGGAAGGGATATAATAATACATGTTTTCTATTCAAATTCCAGGCAACAGATATGATGATACGAGTAAGGGAAATGGCATTCCACAGGAACAAGCTAAATAAAATATTGTCACGAGCCACAGGAAGGCCTCTGCAGGAGGTAGTTACCAGACATTGGCTTGTTCTCAATTTTATTATTATTATATAATTATAATTATAATAATAATATTATCTTTTATATTTTATCATAGATGGTATTTTTTCAATCTTTACTACCTACTACCTCCTTTCAGATTGAAGAAGATACAGACCGTGATAATTTTATGGGTGCTTGGGAAGCAAAAGAGTACGGGCTAGTTGATGTAGTAATTGATGATGGAAAACCAGGACTGGTAGCACCTATTGCAGATGCGAGACCTCCACCGAAAACCAGGATTTTGGGTCCATGGAAAGTTGAGAGCAGCAAGAAAACAAAGCAGAATTTGCCATCAGAGGAGAGGATGATGAGGAACATGAAAGAGGATGGATGTCCTAATCCTGACAACCAAGGTAATAATAATGAGTTTATGAATGAAGATAAGAGTGTTGCTGCTGCTTAACTGAACGGTCAAATCATTTTCAACTTCTATATGTTCCATTGGTCCAACACTTGCCCCATTTATATTTCAATGATGTTTCAGAATATACATATGTTGAACTCTGCTGATGGTTGGTTGGTAACTTGGTGTGCCCCAATCCTTTTTTGTTGTATTCCATACTCGGTCATTCCTTCATTGAAATGCTACTTTTTCATATCTTA